TTTGCTTAAAGTTTTTCTGAAAGTAAATGTGCCACAGTAGAGCAAGCCGTAAAGAAAGTTCGTCGTGAGAACTGTACATGTGTTCGAAGGAAAACCAACAGCAACTCGGTAATGAATTTCATGTCCTCGATAAGTTGGATGACACTTCGAAAAGTGAAAAGTTGCTCCTTTGAAAAAAAGGTACTATCTTGGTATCGAAAAGAGTAAGGACCATAAAGTTTGCTCACTAGAGCGAATTTGTTTGACCTACGGTCAACAAGTATCTCAAGTATCTCAAATCCCTCTGACGAAGAAAAAATTTTTCCGAGCAAAGAGGAGAGCGGTTAAGGATAAGTGTCGTCGGTAGCAACGAGCCATTTCTTCCCGAAGGTCATCTCGTTATCAGTTAAGCGCTGCTAGACCTCCAAGTTCTTCCAATTCGTTGGCAGGCTATCGCCCAACGTGTGGGGCTTTTGGCAACTTCCGGGGTTTACGTCCTTGTTTCAAAATGACTATCATATTTATTTTTTCTCTCATTTGAATCGTTCATCACATCTTTACTATCTTTGTTTTTGCTTTGGCTATAAGGCGGCTACCACAGAGGTCATATTCCAGTATTCTCCATGATTTGTAGTATCTTGCAGTCATCTTTAAGTCAGTCATACAAAGGAGAGCTACTCGTTTTATCTTAAGGAATAGTAACCTATGTTATAAGGCTCGTTTAATCAAGCTTAAGTTATTACCGCTAAGTTACTGGTTAGAATATCTTGAATTAGTTTCTTTTTTAAGTGCCTTCATGGGCTTATAGATTTCACTCGTGAATTTAGTTATTATTTTTCTTTTCTAAAGGGCAACACGCGCCGTGCTTCATCTGGGCTGCATTTAAAGTTAAATGCCTGTCGTACTTCTTCCTTTCGAGACTTTTACTTCAACAGAACAACTTTGATGTGGAACAGTTTACCTAAAAATATCAAGGATTCAGACACTATAAGCTCTTTTAAAAGTAAACTCAAGTCGTTTTATTTTACTAGACTTTTGAATGCTTTTGGTGGTGACAATTTTCGTTCTTTTAAATTAATTTGTCCTGAGTGTCACCGTGTAAATACTTCTTCTGTCTGTACTTGTTAAGTTAAGTTAAGTTGTTAATTTGTATACTTTAGAATGGTCTGTGTGATTTAGATTATTTGAATCGCAGCTTAGTCGAATCAGGGAAGGATCTTTTTTCGGGATATTTCTTTCTGGGATATTTTTTACGGGGCTGGGTGTGGGTGTATTAATCAAGTAGGGGACTTATGTCCTATTGTTATGCACCTGTACTTGTACTCGTACGAATCCATTAAATAAAAAAACAAATAAATAAATAAGTGCTAAATGTCATAATATCTGCGTCACAAAGTTGAGCAGCTATTTAATTACTGCATGTTCTGAATGGCATTTTGTGTTCATTAGTGAGTGTATCGGTATGTCTCTTAAGTGTTAAGTTATTTTAATAATAGCGGTATGTATGTGTTGAGTAATTGAGTGTTCGTCCTTCGGGTCTGTGAACGCACACATCTGCACAGGCAGTTAATTTTCATTTTTTCGTGTTAGAGGGTGGAGAGTTCGGTCATTTAAGTGCCTTCTGCTCAGACTCAACGTCTGCCGATTTTCGAGAAGCACTTCTCGTCGGGAGTAACCAACTGTGGCATCGGTGTCTGATGATATTCATCAGTTCACGTTTGATTTGACTTTTCGTGTTTGGTTTTTGGAAACTATGACTTGTTCAATATCCGGAACCAAAGCAGTGATGTCAAAGGCCTTTTAAATTCTGCCATAGGTTTTATTTCATGGGGCATACTAGTTTTGTTTACCTTAAGGGCAGTTTTGGAAGCCAACCGGATGAGTGTTCTGATATTGTGGCCGCAATTATTCAAAAGAAAGAGCTAAATTCCTCAGGTCTCCTGGTTAACGAAGAAAAGTCCCTTAGGCAACCTATGCCGATGGCCAAATGGCTGGCTTTTGTAATGAAGACCATTTCAATGGCTTTTCAAATTCCGAAAAAAGAAAGTCTTCCGGACACTGTAATGACGGACGAATCATCTTCGTATCGCAAATTAGCTAGGATAGCGTAATTTCGTAATTTCGGTTTTCATAGCAGTGGGTCCTATTTCAAGTCTTTTCACCGGACAAATGTACCAGGCAATCGAGTCTCGATCAGGATGGGATCACATCTTTCGTTTCCCCGCAGCCCTTTTTGAAAGAGTTGAAACTCTGGTACTCGAGCATCCGTTCATTTAATGGTTACTCTCTTCGACCTTTGCTCTGATGCAAGTGATGTCGCTTTTGGCGGGTTTTCAGCATCGTTAGATGGTTTAACGGCCACCGGTATATTGACTTCTGATGACCTCGGTCAAAGCACTTTCCAAGAAGGTAAAATTTTTCACCGGTAGTCGGAGTGGTTCCAGAATAGCGTCCATAGGTAGTTCTACAGTTTCCTTTTAGTCGGTTGCATCTATATCCATATTTCAGCTTTGTTTTGCACGGGATATATCCTTCGAGTCGCAGAGGATCCCTTGATTGCTCAATTAGAAAACTGATCAGCTCAGTAGCTTTGTCGATAAACATGATTGGTCTCTAAATCCATCTGCTTCCGGCTAGTGAATTCCAGGCTGAGTCCCCACACAATGGAACGTTTCGAAATCTATTACAATGCCCAGCTGGCGATATTTAACTTGAAGTTCACTTCTCCTGCTTCCATTGCCAGTGGACTCCTTGGTGCAAGACTGCAGTGGCGAGAACAACTAGATCTAGTCGATTCCGTCCGTCATTAACCTTAAGTGCTGGTTACGGAGCTTTGATCATTCCAGTATGGCCCTCATCGTATTTTTGGCTGGGGATTTCAGTTTAAGCCGTTCGTGGTAGACGTTTGATTTTGGCCTGATTTGGCCCCTTGATTTTGGCCCGATTTAGCCACTTGATTTTGGCCTGATTTGGCCCCTTGATTTTGGCCTGATTTGGTCCCTTGATTTTGGCCTGATTTGGCCCATGCTTTTTGCTTGATTTAGAAGATCGAGCTGGCGTGGCTTGGCTGGCATGTTTCTTGAACGTTGCTTCGGGGATTTTTTCCCTTGCATTGCATTCTGTGACATCATTCTCTTTTGATTAAGTGTCGTTCTTTCCAAAATGTTTGATCATTCATTATGTAATGGAGTTCATTTACAATTTATTTTAATTCGGTTGTTTTATCAATCGCCTGTTCAAATTTAACGGTTTTGAGACGTTTCCTTTTTTTCTTTTTTGTTTAAGACATTCTTCTTTCCAGTATCTGACATGAAGCGTGCGATTTGCAGGACTACTTACTCCGTCGTTTGGTCCCAGGTCTCCTGCATTTGCAGCTATGATCGAAGGCACGTCGGGCGAAGATTGGTATATGCCTGTAATTCCCACCAAGCCCTTGCGCATCGCCTTGTTTATCGCTTACGGAAATTTGTGCGGAGAACAATATGGTGCGTCACCAATTGAAGCTGCACTTTATGGTGTTACAAAGGGGCATACAATGGCCGGGATGGAATCGTGCCTCTCTTAGTCTTCATCCACTCATGAAGTCATACGTCGAAGTAGCGAAAAGAAGGTAAGCTCTTCCAGTGCAGTCCTAAGAGCCTTAGTCCGCCGATACAGTGCAAGCAATTGCTGATGACGTTACGAGTGATTCTCCTGCTGCAACCTGCTGGAAGAGCTGGAAAACGCGGGTGGCCAAGTTGGGATTAGTTATCGTTCTGAATGTAACTGGTCGACCGTTTACACCGTAATGTCATTATGCATATTCTCCATACTGTTCTTTATACACTTCCTGAGGTGCTGACAAGGAGAATTCGTTTACTGATCAAAAGCTTCTTTTTGTTAGTAATCATTTCCTTTATTCTCATGACCTTAATGTGTGATTTAGGGATGATATTGTAGGGAGAAATTAGATGCTGGTCACTCTCAGGGTTTAAAGGGTTAAGAAGGTCACGCGAATTTTCTGGACCAATTGTGGAGCGAAGTAAAACAAAACCAAAGCAACCGAGGATCACTTTCGACACAATTGAAAACTATTCTAAAAATATTTTATGTTTATTCTGGAACTTCAAATTCATACTACACTATTGAATTAGAGGGCTAGCTTTACTACAAAACCATTCACAAACCCATTAAACCAAACTTAGCTTTTATTTGTTTCGCATGTTTTACAAAATAATTCAAAAGCTGAAACTAGTTTCTCCATAATTTTTGTCACTAGATACACGAGTCTTAGACTGGTCCAGTTCCCAGACTCCGTTATTATTGACAGGAGTACACTGGAACTGAAACTATGCGTAACGCTGAATTCAACAGCGAGCACATGAACGAACAAATGTGACAATGTTAACTACCTATAAAAGATGCACTGCTTTAAGTAAAATCTACATTTGATAGGCGAAATATTGACCTAACTGGTTAATGGAAACAGCCAAGGAATTCTTAAAATTTATTTACATTAACATATCTAGCAAACTAGGAAGACTTATGAAACCTGGATGACGATGACTGAATTTTCCAGTTTTAAATAAGTTGCGTGGCTCTCTTGTTCGACTATGGATGAGATTCAAATGGGCGACCATTGGATTTTATCTCAACGTACGTGAAGTACCATCGTCTTTATGTTAGTCTGCGAGCAGGCTCCTATAAGTGGGGCCCTTATTATTGACGTTTTAGCACGAGCCCGCGTTAAATTATGAGGTCTTGAGCTACACGAGTCGGCAAAAAGTCTGCCAGCACCAGACCCCCAGCAAACCTCTCCCCGAGTGATCACAAATCTTCTCGCGGGAGGAGAAACGTGTGCCCTGCAGTACTAATAATAGGGGCCTGATCGCAGGCTATTTTTCTGTTTTTAACTATTTTCGGCCAACAGAATTAAACTGTTCCAAACTTAACGTTACTTCGTTTCGTGTAGGCATAACCTTCGTGGTTAAAAAAGGTTTGGAACTTCTATGCCCTATTTTTTCGACATGGTTCAATCACATATACTACCAGGCTTATTCTTTTTTTTTCTCAATGTAATTCATTTTCTATCTAAAGTGAACAACTCAGCAAGAAGCACCAACCTTTGGTGAACTCACCGACGAACGCGCGTTTCATTTCTTGCTCGACCGGAAAAGTCTTTCCTTATTGAAAATTCTGTGGCAAATTTTTACATATTGGTAATCTTCTCTTGTCGAAAATACAACGCGAATATCGCTATTTGGCTTCTTCGTAATCCACTCTCAAAAGTCCTTGAGGATGTGCGCGTATTCAATGACGACTCCATTTTCATCAAACCAAATAACTGACGTAATTTATCTCAGGTGCTTTTTCCTCGGGCTCAGATCCCCGCGGTTGCCATTGATTTGGAGGTAGTTCGGGCTCCGGGGTGAGTGTGTTTCGTGACGATCGTAAAGATTCGGGTCTCCGGAAACCGTCCGAGTCCTGCGACGGAGGCCGAACGAGTTGTCCATGAATATTGATGTACGGCTATAACATAGAAGAAAAAGTAACGGAAGTATTAGAAAACTCTTGTAAAATGTTTGTGAGAAGAGTGAATTTTCTGCCTTCTATGAAGCAGAGTCTCATAACTGATCTTGCTTTTTTTTTCCTTTAGATTCCCATTGCAATATTTGTCACGCAAAGCAGAGTTCCTGAGAGAATAAAGCAACAAAACAACACACGCTTAACCACACGAATAGAGCAGTTTTCGATTGAGTATCGAAAGTGAACCTACATTGCTTTGGTTTTGCCTTACTTCGCTCTGTGATTTGTCCAAAAAAAGTCGAGCCGCCGTCTCAACCAATCAAATGAAAAACTGACCAATTCCAACTTGCTTAGTCAACACTCAATTAATAACCTGCTCGAAAATGACCTGAATAAGGTGAAAACCAAGAAATGCACACACTGGCCACATCTATCGATGTTCGGTTTTACTAAAGCAGAAACCCCTTGAGACTCAAGGGTAGTGGAGGTATCATTTCATACTCTCGTTTTAGAGGATCTTTAAAATTACTTCGTTAATTGTTGTTGTTGTTGTTGTTTTTTTTTTTAAGAACTGCAGAATATCACCCTGTACAGACCCTCCCGGTATGTACCTGTCTTTGTCGTCCCGGTGAAGAAGGTGGATGGTAAGGCGCAGGTCCGTCCGAGTCATAGCGAGGATCCTGGCCGTCTGGTGGATAAACAATGTCGCGTAAAAACATAGGTGGCTCTGGAAGGCCATCATCTACATAAAAAAAAAACACCATTAGGAAAGAAACAAAGCAGTAAAACAAAAACAACCAAATGACTAACAAAAATAGAAATTAACAGGCCGAGTGAACGATGACGAGTCAATTCAAGATTGAAACGCTTTACATCGTGCAACGTTTATCTCCAAATGGAGACAAGGGTCCAGGGTCCAGGGGCCCCTCTGAAAACCGCTGTGGCGATTATTATTATTATTATTGTTATTATTATTATTATTATTATTATTATTATTATTATTATTATTACTATTATTATTATTACAAGGCTGGTCACTTTCAGGGGTCAAAGGGTTAAATCTGGAAAATATTAAACAAACTTGAGAAAAGTTTCACAAGATCTATAAGCTATGAAGTATGTTACATTCTAAATCCATTTTTAACTTTACATTCTAAATTTTCCTGCACTGTTTTGTTTTGTTTTTGTTTTCTTGGCTGCTGTTAGTTACATATTTAATTCAAATCAGTATTGGAAGATATCATCCATGTCATAACAATTTTGTAATACCTATAAAATAATACACAGTATCATTCCCACTCATTCAGAACAATTGTGTAATACCTATAAAATAATACACAGTATCATTCTCTCTCATTCATAACAATTTTGTAATACCTATAAAATAATACACGGTACCATTCCCACTCATTCAAAGTCGGCTGTGAGACGACAACCTTACCTGGATAGTTTTGATAATTATTAGAAATCGGTCGGTTGCTAGGCAACATAGCCATAGGGGGTGGTAGGTCCGGGGGCCCCTCATTCGGTGGAAGATTGGACGGATCATCCAAATCTAAGTCGTCGCCATCATGCACTGGGAGGTCCTCGAATGATCTGTCCTCAGGGGTGTACTGTGGGGGAGGCCCTATGTGGTTGGAACAAAAGAAAACTATATCAGCTTGAGAGCGTATTTCGATTACCTTCAATAGTAGTGGCCAATCAGAACGAAGAAAAACATCGCAAGACCCTGTGACATCTTAAAGTGAAAGCACTTTAAAAAGAGACAAACGCGAGCAACCACTCTGGAAAATTACAACCCTCATCAACTTTTTCAAAACATCCTGTCACCCCCCCCCCCCCAATATTGAGTTCTTGTCAGGGAGGAGAGGGAAATGTTTCCGCTGCTGTGACAAGTACTGTAACTAAACGCACTCCAAGATTACTTTCAGCGCGTGCTTGAAACTGGCTCACATGAAGGCAAGGGCAAGACCATCTGTTCAGAATTGAACGAAGAATGCAGTCTGACGAGAAATACTCAGTACTCATGTTCGAGAATTTTATCGCAGTTTTTCTATGCTGCTCTTCGCTCACTCTTCAAAGGCACGATTTTCTTTACCTGGGTAAAAGCTAGAAACCAAGGTTTGAATATTAATGCAAACACTTCTGTCAAAAGCAAAAATATCTTTATCACGAATGACAGTTCATCTCGAAAACGAAAAAGATCAATTTAATTTTTTTTGGGTGTGTGTCTACCCGTAGTTTCCAGAAATCTTGAAACAAAAAATTAAGAATTAAGTTGCCTTCATTTTCTTGAAGATTTCAGGAATTTATGAATCTCATCAAATACAGAAGTTAAGTTATTGTTTTAAGTTTGTACTAACATCCTTTATAAGAGTCTTTCCAGTATGGAGGCCCATACATCTGTGGCGGTGGGCGAAGCCTCTCTGTTGAACGACAGCATGTTTTCAAATTTAGTTTTACATTTTTAAATAGTTTTACTTAAGGTTTAGGTGAGTGTTAAAACGTTATATTACGCTGATTAAAAGTACCATCATCTAAGAGCTGGCACTAATCTCTAATTGGCTCATAACACTCGGAAACTGTCCGAGTATTTCATGAAGATAGACCGATGATATCACATTCCGAAGGAGCTGTATCACGTAATATGCTTTTCTTGAGTTTTACCATGAAGGTGCCAATCGTCAACAAAAATTATCGATTTACTTTAACAGCGTTAGTTTAGCATCTTACACTCTTCTTTAAGGTGGTGAAACGTGCGAGCAAATTGTTATTACGGCTATTACAATTTTAAAGAAATGTTTTTGTCCCAGAAGTGCAAGTGGAAAAAATTAAACCTTAGAGTTCAGCGAATTACTATTCATGATAATCACAGAGTCGTTTCGTGTTAATTGAATTGTAGTACATTAATGAAACATGGTTAAAGGCTTCCCCCAATAAGTTTGTTTTTCAATCAAAAGAGTAGTTATCCGCCCAACTGAATTAAGGTGAGTCATTTATACATTCATCACATGCAAAACGTTTAAGTGTTAATCAGCAGATTATTTCTCACAAAACTTTTGAAATAATATTTCTGTAAACCCACGATATTAGGTAGTTTTTTTTAATGATATTGTTATTCCGCAAGCTGATAAGTTTGATAATCATGTTATTGTGTTAAAAAAAACCTCCTACCAATCGCTGGCTCATTTGGTTCACGGCGAGGTCTCTTAGGTTTGGGTCTCTTCTGTGGCAAAGCATATGGCACTGTAGGATCAAGGGGCCCATTTGCAGGACGACCACTCGGGTTAGCCCCCATTGGCAACACCCTCGGCCCCATAACACGTCCGTCCCGGTCCACTGCGGCGTAACCTGGCTCTTCAATGGATTCTACATGTCTGTTGACCAAGCCAAATCAAATAGTACAGAACAAAAATTAAAATGATGCAAAATATTTTACGAACAAAAGGGGTAACATTTCATTGAGTAATTCTGAAAGGTGAGGGCATATACCTAAAATAAATTTTCTGCGGCTTCTTAACCATGTATAAAGAACCTTACCAATCGACATCGGTTCACCTAAGACCAAGACCCTTTCACGGATCCTAATCCTAAGCTAAACCCTGAGCAATTCTCTAACATCAAACTTTAGACAATGACAAGGCCGTATATTACTACGTACCGAACCTAAAGTATTTAAAACTTTCTAGTCTCGTGTGGCATTTTTAGGCTCTGGTGTAAAGAGAAGAAATTCCTGTATTCGCTGAATCAAAGTTTAGACCAGCCCTACAAAAGATTCCTGAATTCATCCCTGTTCATTCCTTTTGGTTCCGAAAAATACAGAGCACTTTAAAGTCAACCTAACGAAGAACTACGCTTCAAAAAAAAAAGGACAAATTTTTACCTCCGCCAAACCACATACCTAGTTACTCAACACGG